CAGACAGAGATGTTTGGCTGCCTGCAATTGCTAGCTCGTTCTGTCCACACGTGTGTGTGCATCGCAGGGTGTGAACTCGCTCCACACACATGCAGACTAAGTGGCATTTGGGTTGTCAGCTCATCCAGGCTTCTCCCACCAGTAGCGCCTCACTTCCAGCACTGGCTCCTGCTCTCCTCACAAACTCCGCTAGCTTTTCCCACTGGAGTGGTACCCATTTATCTACTTGCAGATTTACATGCTTTCAAACAGCTGCATGGGCAGAAGCTAGAGGCAAATGATGGGAAGTCACTCCATCACACAGTGCTAGGCTCTAACCGCCAGTGTGTCCGCACATCCAGTACCATTAAGCTGCTGCACCACGTGCCTCCGTTGTATTATTTTTATGGACTGTTGCAAACCACTTAGAATGCTGCAGCTATCAGGGGATACAAAACTGAATAAGGGGAGGCATGATAGTATACATAAGGAAAAAAAAATCTTCCCAATACTAGAGTGCAGGGTCATCCCATGAGGCTGAATTGTGAAAATTTCAGGACAAATAAAAGGAAATATTTCACATAACGTATAAGGAAACTATGGAATTTGCTAGCATGAGATGTGGTGATAGCCATCAGTTTAGCTGGCTTTGAAAGGGGATTAGACAAGTACATGGGGACAAGGCTAGCAATACCTGCTAGTCTTGATGACTATATACTACCTTCACATTCAGATTGAATATGTCTTTTTACACTAGCTGCTTGGTGACAACAGCAGGCAGGTGTTGTTGCAATATTGTTCTGCTTATGGGTTTCCCACGGGCAGTTGGTGAACGCAATGCTGGACTACATTAACCTTTGTATGACTCTAGTATAACTTTGTAAGAGTCTAGTATGACTCTGTTTCTGATTACCACTTCAAGAGATTACTCCCCCATTACTATACAAAGAAAACTAGTACATCAGGAAACAGGCTAAAGCAGAGTATTTATCCCAAATGGGAGCTCTGCATAAGCAGGGAATATTTAATAGAATGTATTTATTCAAACACCCATCTGCATTTTGAAGTGTACAGGAGGTTTTATGTATGAACATGTAGTTCAGTCCCAAACCTTTACTTACAGTGGGTAATACCACATGTGATGAAACTTCCACAATATGTTTAACAATGCAGCTCACAATATGTTTAAAAGTGCAGCTCAGAGTTGTATAGTTATACATCAGTGGCACCTTCTCAGACAAGCAGGGTTCAGTGTTATGCAACATTTTTATTAATTATTTCAATGAAGAAGTACAGGGAACACTTATCAACTTTGCAGATGATACAACATTGTGTGGGATAGCTAATACCTGGAAGACAGAAACAAAATTCAAAGTGATATTGATAAGTTGGAACACTGGACTGAAAGTAACAGAAAGAAATTCAATAGGGACAAATGACAAGCTCTGCACCTAGGAAAAAGAAATGAAATGCATCATTACCAACCCTAGGTAGGACTATTGGTGCTGTTTATAAATATTAAAAATAAATAAGATGGGGGATACTTGGCTCAACAGTACTACAAATGAGAAGGATCTTGGAAATGTTGTAGATTACAAGCTGAATATGAGTCAACAATGTGATGTGGCTGCAAAAAAGGCCAAATGTTATTTTGGGCTGTGTTAATAGAAGCAGCACTTCCAATTCACACGAAATGCTAGTTCTTCTCTACTTAGCACCAGTTGGCCTCATCTGGACTACTGTGTCCAGTTCTGGGCACCACAATTTCTGAAAAATGCAGACAAAGGGCAGCAAGTAATTGAAAGAACTGGCCATGTTTAGCCTTGAGAAGAGAAAATTGCGAGCAGAGAGAATTGCATTCTACAAGTACTGTACTTGAAAGATAGGAGGGTCTCTTCTCAATCATCCCAAAATGCAGGTTACAGAATAACAGGTTCAAGTTAAAAGGAAGTCAGGTCCTGGCTGGACATTAGGAAGAACTTCCTGACTGGTAGAGCAATACAACAGTGGAACCAATTATCCAGGTAGGTTCTGAGTTCTTCCACAGTAGATGAGTTCAATGCTAAGCTGTTTACTAAACCTAAGTAAATGTGAATAGGGCTGCTGTCCATGTAGGATTTATCTGCACTGAACACCATGGAACTTAGATCTGAGTTAACCTCTTTAGAATCAGTTTTCCCATTGTGACTATGGCCTAACAGAATTGTGCCTTCTTGAAATGTAGCCATTTCCTCACATTGTTGTACTGTAAGGCATGTGCTACAATTGTGAGTTTCGGGTGGGGGCAGGGGGAACCCCATCAGGACTATGGAGATGTGTGAGAGAGGCATGTGAAGTTGTTATAATTCGACTCAAGGGAGATTTGGGTCATCCAAGATCATCTAAGATCATCACTATCAGTAGACAAAAACACAGTTCTCTGTATAGAATTATAGACCAAGAGTAAAGCTACACAATTTATTAATGAACTCAGTTTACAGGACACATTAAGCCACAGTGGTCTGACATGTTGTTTGAGCACAGGTTTATGAGCTTGCTGTAGGGCTTAATAAACCCATTGTGTTGCCCAAATCCAGACAGAAAATCAGTCATGATCAAGTTAAAACAAAAAGCAAAAAACAGTCAGAAATGCCTTGGCGTGGATAACAGGAAAGGCTTGCCAAGGAAGCTCTTGGGTACAGCTAGGAAAGTTTTCTCCCTTCCCTACTAGCAGCAGTGGTGCAATTCAGGTTGTGAAAAGAAATCCCATGCAGGGAGGCAGGTTTGTCCCGTTAAATCACACTCTCAAGCCCCATGGGGGTTTCCCTCGGGTTTTGCCACTTCCTGAGCTGCTCTCTACTCAGGGTAAATTGCAAAACTGAGAAGACAGCTGGGGCTTCCTAGCATCCTCTGGGGATCCTGCTTGGAAGGAGAAAGAATTGAAAGAGTGCCCCTCCAAACACTCTTTTACAGCTTCTTGGGATTTATTTAGGCCTCTTTATGATTATGTCTCTTTATGATTAGGACGTAAGAAAGTGAAGGCAGCCCAGGATCACATGAACACCCCAAAGAGTGCTCTACTATATTCTATTCTCTTTACAAGATGCTACTGTTTCCATGCACATACCCCTTTAAAAATGTTATAATTAGCAGTGACCTACCAAACTAACTTAGCATAGACACTGTGTCCATGCCAGTAAGTTTCCATGCCAAACTGCAAATTAGTAGCCCTTTGCAGCAGGACCCTTGTTGTTTGGGGTATGGGGGTGTTCATATGGCCCTGGGCTGTCCTCACTTTCTCACCTGTAGATATCCCAGAAGCACTTTTTTTTGAAAAGGTCAAGCCAAATGGTTGGCTCAGGAAACATCTTGGTGTCCCTGCAGTGTCCCTTAGGATGTCCCTGGGATGCAGCAGAAGGACTGAGACAGGGAAGAGGGGAGAAGAGGAGGGAGGACGAAGCAAGCAGTCCCTGCTGTGCCTGGTCATCTGTGCTTATTTGGCATTCACATGCGGGCTGACATGTTATGTGAACCCAGTCAATCACGATAGGAGCCCCACTCACAGAACTCCAACATGACTTGCAGTTTGGCCCTTAGGCTTATCAATCAACACTAGTATTTCTGGAATAGTTGCCTGGGGATAGTATTTGTTTTACAGTATTTATATAGAGCTTTTTATTATATTTATTAAGCCATAATGGAGTTCACAATAATAAAATCAAATGCATAGGTGGAGCATGGTTTTCATAACAGTAGTTCTGGACTACTAGTGGTTAGAGTTAGAGTACTAGATTAAAACTGGAACAACCAAGGTTCACTTCCCTCCTCAGCCATGGTGCTTTTTGAATGATTCTTGGCCAGTCACTGTAGCTCAGCCTAACCCACATCACAAGGTTGTTGTGAGGACAAAGGGGGCAAGAGAAACTTGAAAACTACCCATAGCACCAGGGAGAAAAAGTGGAACAAAAATCCAATAAAGATCAGCTGCTAATTAAATCCTGTTGCTCCTTGTTCTGAATTGATAAAAGGTGGTGGCAGCAGTCAAGGAATGTACTGAGGCAGATGTTCCTGCTACTAGTGCTCTGGGCAAGTTGTGTCAGCAATTGCCACAATTCTCAGAGGCAATTAAGGTGCAATGGCTTCTTTCTGGGTCTCCTAGTGGTACTGAAAGAAGTGGAAGTTAGGTAAGTCAGTGTGTATGAGTGAAAGGCAGAATTATACACTTGCATGTGTGCCCACTAACCCAAAGAAAAAATAACATGACTCGCTTCAAATGTCGAAAAAAAAAGTATGTATGTGGACTTTTATACACTCGCAGTTGAAAACAGTTTGACATTTTCCTGAGTAACCTTGTGCCATAATATACTAGTTTCAAAAAGGGAAGTCTCTTGATAAATATTTCTGTGGCAGTTGCCACCTAGCAGGCACTGTTTGTAGATTTCATAAATGAGGTGGGGCAGGGGGTATACATCCTTACACCTATAAATGCATAGCTAAGTATGAAACAAGAAGGACCTATTAAAAGATGCAATTCGATGCACGCTTACTTGAAAATAAGTGCAGGGAATTGTCCGGGATCTACTTCAGAGTAAACATGAAAGGACTGCTCCCATTTGAGAAACAGCACATTCCCCCCATACGGGTAGAAGAGCTCCTTCTACTCCTGGAAACGCAAGAAGCGTTCTTTCCTCAGGTAGTGCACAAGAGTTGTCAGCGTGTGCCGCCGACCTGGGCCTAACTCAAGCGTGGCTTCCACGAGTAAGCACGGCCTGAATCGGGCTCGCTCGTCCTTTGCCAAGTCCGCCCGCCTCGAGGGCTGAGGCCACGGAGGCAGGCTGGCCTGCTGCAGGGAGGCCGGCCGGGAGAGCGGCCGAGTGCGCAGGACGCGGCTCCACGGGCGCCCAGGAAGCGCCGGACTCGCGCGCTCCGTCCGGGGCAGGCAGGGACAGGGTTAAGCCAGACTGGGCGGAGGAGCCGCCAGACAGTCGGCGAGAGCCGCGCCTGCGCAGGGGGCTGGCCTCTGGCCGCGGTCTCGCTCGCGAAGTTGTCCGGGGGCCGGGGAGAAGTTGACGGTGCTGGGCGGAGGCAGAGGGCGGTGGGGCCGGGCTGTGCGCTCGGATCCCTGCCGGCCATGGCGTTCCGCAGGCGAGCGAAAAGCCACCCGCTTTTCAGCCAGGAGTTCCTCATCCACAACCACGCCGACATCGGTTTCTGCCTGGTGCTCTGCGTGCTCATCTCGCTCATGTTCGAGGTGAGCAGCCCTCGCCGGAGTTAGCAGCCCATCTGCTTTCGGGACGGGGCGGGAGAGTGGTCCTGTCAGTGCAGAGCCCGCTGCGTAACGGGCCCCTCTCTGGCCGGCGGGGTGCCGAGCGGCTCCCTCCCGGAATGAGCGCTTCTCTCTGCCTTTCTCGCCCGGGACGACAGGCGCGCTCTCCTCTCGCCCTCGCTCTCCTCGCTCTCCCGCGCGCGCCTCCCTGCCTGACTTCCACGCTCCGATTCCTGCGTGCCTCCAGAGAGGCGAATTACTGCTATTTCTCTCTCTCGGGAGCCGCCTCATCCCTTTCCGCTTTAATTTACACCGCTGCTTCCGATGCCCTGCTTCTTTCCACAAGTGGGAAGAGTTTCTGTGTGCTTCTAACCCCCTCCCCCATTTATCCTCCAAACTTCCTTCCTAGCCTTGTATATCCAGCCTGTCCCGATTCAGGGCCTGCGTCAGAGGTCAGCTCTGCTGGGCAGCAGCCGCAGCCCCAGCACTTCAGGAGGCGAAATCCTGACTTGCTGCCACTGAGAAAACACAGCAGGAGGGCCCTCTGGAATCTTGCTCCCTCCTCTGCACAGTGCTGCCAGTTGTGTCAACCTCCCCAAGGCAGCCTCCTCCAGCTCCTCCTCGCTCTTCCACCAAAGCAGGCATGTGAATAGCAATGGGGAGGGCAGCTGTCTCCCTCTTGCCTGTCCTCTCCTCCCTTCTCCTCCCCTGGAGGCAGCATGGCTTGGGCCCTGCACTGCTGTCAGGGGAGGGAGTGAGCAGGCCAATGGAGACAGCTGCTCTGTGCTCACACTAGTGAGCTCCAGTGGGCAAGGAGCCACTTTTTTCCTGCTTGTTCCCTGTGCAATGCACAGGATGGCTCCCTGTTCCTTGAAGCTGCTGCCACCGTCACCACTGGGTCCCTTCCATGGCTGCTGCTCCATGTTCAGCCAGCCACTCAGATAAGCAAGCAGCTCATGAGGCTGCCAGGGGCTCTGCCCTCTTCCTGGGTGGTGCAACTGTTAAGGTGGGGTGCAGCAGCCTGAAACTCCGGCTGCGCAGCCCAGAGGCACAGGGCACAAGACGGAAGGCAGTAGCTACTCCTTGTTTGGTCACTGGCAAGGAAAAGCCATGGCCTCCCCTTGTTCTCCCTGCTCCCCCTGCAGTGCACCAGGTGCAGTCCCAGTCACCACATCACCCCAAAAAAGCAGAAGTGGTGTGAGGAAAGAGCCCAAAGTACCCATTGACAAATGTACCACCCCCTGCTTGCCTGTGCCATCTGTTCAGGACACTGACCTTGCTTCACCTCACATAACTAAAGTATCCTGCCCCGTTCACTAGTCTATGGCTGTTTAAGAATGGATGGGCAATTTGTGGCCTGCCGGATGTTTTGGCCTGCAGTGCCAATCATCTTTAATCAGTGTAGCAAGTGGTGAGGTATCATGAAAGATGCAGTTCAGCAGACATCGAGGGGACCATGAGTTGTCCCTCTCCTTTATTTAAGGCAGCCGTGCCAATGATGATGTGTCACTATCAGCCTGCTCTTCTACAGTTACCAGTGGACTTGCTTTCCAAACCACCTCCCCCTGGAATCGATGCCAGTGGCCAGAAGTAGTCAGAGCCTTCCTGTCCTAGGCTACTATTGATCTTCTTGCTCCTTTGCTTTGCTTTCTTTAAAAAAAAACTAAGAGCTCATCAAGAGAGTTGGATTCAGTTCTATTGGTCAATCTCATGATTCTTACATTCCTGGTGTCATCTTCCCACAATCCCTGCAAACCACATGCTAGTAAGCTAGTGACTTATCCACAGGTGATCTGCTGATGATTACTAGGCCATCCTTTGGAAGCCACTAACCAATAGTTAGTATTAAGAGTGTTGTTCTTATCTGTTGTTCATATCTGATTCTTAGAAGTAGAAGATTGCCAGCCCTTGTATTTATGGCCTCTGTTCTTGGTATTATCATTTAGAGTAACCCTAATGAAGTTACAGAGATACCATGCTGGATTATCTCATGCTCTCACATAATTTTTTTTATTGTTCCAGTTGTGATTTCCAAGGAACTCTAGGAATCTGTACCAACTAACAATCAACTAACCAGTACCAACTATATTAACAATGAAACACTGATTGTGGCATAATAACATTACAATCAAATGAAACGATTGTTGTTAAAACTATACCAAAGCAGCACAATAAAGTTTATGCAGATGTGATATTCAACAAATGGGGGAGGAAAAAGGAGCCGTCATTCTTTGGATAGGTCCATGTTTGTGTTCACTCACTGTGCCTGCAGCAAAACAACCTGTCAGTTCTTCAGATAAGCAGGATAAAAACCAGCTTAGTTCTTGTTGCTTGTTGGTGGTGTCCTGGATGTCTGCACAGGGTTGCTTTGTACATCAGTGAGTAGCATGCTGTATATCAGAGTTGCTTTTTTTTTTTTTGCTTTATCATTGCAGTAAAATATAGCACTGCTTCTTGGGAAGTGGCTAGAAGTTACTGGGAAGGGTTATTGGTGCTGTCCCAGAGCATTCCAAAAAGGTACTTGCTTGGGATCAGGTAACCTGATGATGGCTTTCTACTAACTTAGTTTACTGTAGCAGCAACCCAGCAATCAGGTAACCTGATGATGGCTTTCTACTAACTTAGTTTACTGTAGCATGGTGGGTTATCCTAGCAACGGGTATATCTTTTGCCTTTGGGGCACATGTGTGATGGATACAGCAGACATGATATGCACTGATTCCTGTTACTCATGCATCTGATATGACTGCAATTTTTAAAAAAATCATGAAGCATAAGCCCCATAATTCCCTTCCTGTTCCAAGGTAAAAAAGCTGCTGTGTAAGAACAATTTTGACCATAAAAATGTTATTTTGGGGAAATGGCTAAGTACCCTTTCTGATGTGCTGAAGGGGGAAGTTCTACTGTATTTTTAGTAAAAGAGAATAGGGAAAACTCAAGCCAATTTCATCCTTTTTTGGGGCGGGGGGAAGGAATCTCACACAGATGGGATGAACAGGACTTTTTCATTCCTCTCCGCCCCCCCCCCCCCCATATTGATGTCTGCCTTCCTTGTGGAAGTTTGCTGTTGGGTAGAATCCTGTGGGCTCATGTGCCCGACTCGGATACCCGTCCGTCCCTCCGCTCAGCTTTTTTCAGCCCGCTCTCTGTATAACGGATGCCCTACAAGCCAGCCTTGTGTTTCCCTCCGTCTTTGTTTCCTCCTGCTTCCTATCTCCGGCCCAGTGCACCCTGGTGAAAGTTTTGCTGCTGCCTAGACTCGGACGTCTTCCATCTGAATCCCTTGCAAGACATGCCTGTGTGTGTCATACAGCTCGGAGGGTTTCTCTCTGAACGTTGGGCTTTCCCAAATTGCACCCTTGTAACAAGATGTGGGTAGTTGTGAATGGAGCTTTTCTCTCCCCTCCCTTGTTGGGGTGCCTTCCAAGTTCTTTTTTCGTATAACTAGGCTTTTTGCCTCTGAAGTCCTGGCGCTTTGTACAGAAATGTCAGGAATGTTGAGCTCCTCCTTCGCCTTTCTAGCTTGCTCCCCACCCCCTCCTCGCTAGGCAAGGGAGGGTGGCAGCACTTGCGAAACAGCCCGGGCGCTCCTGACGTGGAGCCTGACTAGCCGTGCCAGCAGCCTCGCTCAGCCCGAGTGCGTGCGTGCGTGTGTGCACCCGCGCATGTGTGCATCTGCGGCTTGTAGCTCAATTGAGTGTGTGATTGAGAAGTTGAGGGTTGAAAACACACACCCCACCTTCCCCTTGCAGCTCAGTGCCACGTTTCAAAGCAAACCGAGGTGGGGAGGGGAGGGGTCGATAGCTCTTTATGCTGGCAAAGGGGAGGAAAGGGGATTTTAACTGCTTTACGCGGCACATTTCTCACTTTCCTTGTTTCCATTTTTTGGAATTAACAGAGAGTTCCCAATACACAGCAGCAGAGATTACTTGAAAGGGAGAGGGATGAAGGGGACAATTTAGCAAAGAAAGGGGGGAAAAGCCCTGCCGGCGGGAGTGTAACTTCTGAAACTAAATGCAATACTGTTGCGTGCTGGCTGTAAGTTCTCGCTCTCCTGCTCTCTCTCGCAGTCAATAACATTGGATAGTAGACAAGTTGGTTTCCTATGAAGTGAGGTGCTGGGGGGGGGGGGGGCTCCTTTTGTTTAGGGCTTACCTGTATTAAAGCGTGTGTGTGGGGGGGTGCGGAATCCTGCCTTATCTTGAGATAAAGGTAAGGTGACAAAGACACAGGATGGTAACTATAGCCTGGAGCTGAGCTTTATCTGCAGAGTACAACTAACTGACACCTGGTCGTTTTAAGTGGGAGATTCTTTCGGTTTGAGCTGGCTGATTAGTCATGTGAGTCACCTCCAGATAAAGCTTCTCTGTATTGGAACACTCTATGCATTTACACTGGAACACTCAAATAATAAATAAATAAATACTAAATTGAATACATATATTTATACTTTGAGTACTTTATAAATAATACTTAGTTTAAAGGACTGAAGGAAATATATATCATGCATACTAAATCATGTGATACTATTAGAAAAATCTAGGTAAGACCTGAAAGTGGGAGCTTGTCTTGTTCTGGATGGCGCGCCCCGTCCATTAGGATCGTGTCCATGGGTTAGGGTATTACGTTTAGATTCAGCACTATAAGGGGAAGAAGAATTGCCTTTGGCTGAAGTGCACATTTCCATTCATTCATTCATTCATATTCAATGTATTTATTTTTTGTTTATTTAACGTTTATTTTTTCTTTCTCTTCTATTCTTGAACTTTGGGTAGCAGGGGAGGGGGAAGAAATGTACCTGCCTCTGCTTTGGAGCTGAATCACCTTCGCTTGGGGTAGCTGCTGATACGGAACTATTGTGCAGAATGTGGTGTCTCTGAGAGGAATCTCCCAGGTTAATGGTGCTTGTTGGCTCTTCTTGTCTGACAGAGGCCTGCTCTTGCTTCAGTTTTCACTGGAAAAATAGTATCTTCTCAGTTTGTAGC